AAACGGGACGGGGGGGGGAGAGAAGGAGGGAGGCGTCCTGATGACACCCGCGTCTCGCCGGTGCGTTTCAGGCGCGCGCGCTGCTTGCCAAGCCGGCGGGCCCCAGTTGGCGACGCGGCGCCGGGAAAGGGCGAGCGGGCCGGCGCTCACGTTTCATTGTTTAACTTTGCCGGCTGAGGTTTCCTCCTCGAACCCCTTCCAGGCGCGCCGCTCTGCAGTCTGACCTTGCGCGCGCGCACACACACACACACACACACACACACACACACACACACACACACACACACACACACACACACACACAGAGAGATCTCTCTCAGTCTGCTCATCATGAAATAACCATAAGAACAAGAATACTAAGAATGGAGCGGGACACGATGTTTACACACACACACACACACACACACACACACAAAGAGCTCCGAGTTTTTGGAGCCCAAAGTTGAGATGCCGGCGACTCGGAACCAGAGTTTGGCACTCATGAGCGGGACCAGGGGAAGGGAAAAAGAGAGCGAACCCAAATAAAAAATCTGAGCCAGAACCGAGCCGCTGCAGAGCCGCTTTGCATCAACTTACCTCCTCAATTAAAAACCAAGGTAATGGTGAGCTGCCCGCACCCGGGACACTGTTTTTCTAGCTTTTCTCCTTGGAGGAAGATCAGAACGCAGCATTGTTGACAGAAGGAAGAAAAGGCGGCGAGACGGAGGGATCGGATGCCAGAGAAAGACCGGGGGGGGGGGGGGAGAGGAGAGCCTCCCTGAATGCGCCTCTTTTTGAGTTCTTACGTGGCTCTTTTCCGCTTATGAGGTCTTGGAGGATCCGAGGAAGGATGGGGGGGGTCGCCCAGCCTTAGAGCTACAGGTGTCCCTCTAGATGGGGAAGATCTACCTAGTTTACCTGTACGCACCTACATACACACGCACGCGCGCGCATAACCCGTGTGGATCTGGCTGGTCCGGGACTGATCCCCACCCTCCCCACGATCCTGCCTAGAGAAAGAGCGAGAACTTACCTAAAGCAGCGTGCTTGGAGCCGAGCTGTAGAAAGTCAGAGGCGGCCTCGACTGCAGCACGCAATCCCTTAACCAGCCAGACATAATACAGCAAAGGGAAAAAGGTCACTCTTGTTATGGGGAGCGGGCGGGGGG